TATATCCATTTTTTGGCATAGACATTTTATCTCGTTTGGTTTTATCTCGTTTTGGGAATATTTTCAACCATTTTTTGTTCAATCCACTTCTTTTCATACTTAGTTTCCTCTGCTTTTCTGGATCACAACAAGCCCACATGTCCATGATGGGAACAGAGCCCACGAACCCCCTCAGACCCAGGATTGCAGTACTGCAAGGCTCCACGGCCTCATCCAGCCTCTCCTTTCAAACACCCCAACAGTACACAAACACCACCAGCAGGAAAACCCTGCAGAAGGACAAGATGAATCCCCATGTTGCTGTTTGTTTTCAGTTCCTGTGTCTGCTTCTACAATGTAATAGGAAAAAAAGGGGTATTTGCTGTTAACCGTGTGTTTCAACAGGACCTTGTTCAGGGTTACCTGCAGCAGCTATCACCCAGACAAGAGCTGTACAGTTTTTTCCCTTCACAAGAACTGCTGTGCAACCCAAAGAATTAGTGCAAAGCTGTGAAACACTGGTGATCAACTGCAGTGGCCTGCAGTGCTCCAGAGCCCCACTGGGAAATGAGAGCAAGGACCAGCCACAAGCACCCCAGAGCTGGATGGAACAGCAGTGCCAGGTGGCAAAGTGCAGATGGGGCACTGTCATCAGAATGGGCACGAACATGAACCACCTACTGGACAATGTCCAACAGCAGATCCTGTAATTAGAAATTATGTTTCAGTCAAATATGGTGACTCTACCCACACAAAGGCTGACAGAGGGCTGCCTCCTTTTGTGTCTCTGCATCTACAGGAACCTCAGATCAGGTAAGTAACTAAATCAGAGGGCACATCAAAACATGACAAGCCACAGTACACATCTCATTGAATTATTTCAAATTCAKATCACAACTTTAAAACCCGATTTAGACATTTAAGTGATGGTAAAAGACTTGCATGATTACACTGAGCTGTGAGACACACTGGGATCTGCCAACAGTAGCTCACGTCTCTCCAGGCTTCACATGCCAGGCTCCAGTAGTGATACATCCTCCAACCTTAAAATCCAGCTTCACAAGATTTTTTTTTTTTTTGAGAATGACGTTAGAAAGAAAATATTGCTAGGACAAGTTAATACATCTACTTTTCTCCCACTGGGGAAACTGAGAGGGAAGAGAGGGAACCTGAAGGTACAGACCAATGCCTGCCCCTGCCTTCAGGCACCCTGTGCCAGGTATGCAGCATCTCCAGCCCTCCACAGCTTCCTCCCCTTCCCATGCATTTTCTCTGTGTGGATTGTTTGACTGCATCCAGAGCTCCTTACTTCACACCATTGCTAATGCTGTGCTTCCTCTGCCCCGAGCTGCTGTGGCTGTCCTGACAGGCTGATTGTCCAAAAAGAACAAAAACTAGGGTCAGATCACACATACTAATATATTACATATATTAGGATTTGGGAACAAAACGTATGAGCTCCTCATTAAACAATATCCAACACAAACTATTAAGAATATTTATAGAAGACAGATCTGGAAAATAATCATTTCCAGACTTTAGGAAYAGTTAAGATAAATATATACCTGACAAATTACAGCACTTGCATTTCAATGCGATGTGAAGGAAAAAAGGCCAAAATTATTTTATTGAGTTATCATTAATTTAAACAAAGACTTTACTAAGACTTAACCAACAAAAACCTATTTTTATTTATTCCAAACACCAAGATACAGAAGTTTTCAAGTTTTGCAAATATTGCTCTGAAACAAAATTCTATGTACAGCCCCTTGGTTCTAATAGTGCATCAACAAAGACAAACACGCATGTACCCACAGTGCAATGTTTGCTCAGTTCATCAAGGCTCCACATTGCATTCACTTACCAGTGATTTAAAGAAAAAAGTGACCTGTCAGCCTGAACAGTTGGTCCAGACTGAAAATAACAATGAGGAAACTTGCAAAACCAGGGACAGAAATGAATCCAGGCAGAGCACAATAAAGAATCTTCCCTGAAYATGAGAAGTACTACTCTATTTTAAATAAATATCTTCACTCTTTATCTGCAAGGACTTCCCCAGCACTACCGAAGGGAAGCAAGTCTCCAGGATCTGCCACTTGATCTACCCATGGGAACTGCCTTTTCTTCCACACCTCCAGTACTGCCCTGAGCAAAAATAAACCGACAAGTAAAAACACAGAATGAGCACACAAAAGCCATTGCTTGAGAAGAAATCCCCCTTTGGAGCAAGAAGCCTGCTCAGGGACTGAGTGGCTTGAATGCCCTCAGACTGAGAGCACAACCAAGCTGTTTCCATGCAGCTGTGTCCTGCTTTACAGACTGTAACCAGGGAACACCTTTTCTGGTCCATTTTACTGGAGAAACACCAGTTGCCTGGCTCCTCTGACACTGTTCTGGTTGTCTGGCCACATCACCTCCTCTAGAGCTACACATGAGCTCAGGGGTCTGACAGGAACGAGCCAAGGTATAAGCATTGGTCTCATCTTCAGAGAGCCAAGTGATCCTTAAATACCATGTAAGCTTTATTCCAATTGTGTTACAGAAAAGCAAGTTTTCCTTCTGTACATATGCTGCATTCACTATATACCAACTTAATACTATAAAACTGTGAGACAAGTTATTCCCTGAACTGAATCTTGGCATAAAAGTCTTAGTTACTACCTAGAGCAGCCTAATTATTTKGTTCTCTGAAAGAAATAAAATATTCACTGTGTAGAGATAGGAATTCCTACAATAATATTGGATATTTCMAGTTCACATTATTCTCTGCAGAATAAACATATTACATCTATATTCCAAATTAAGAATTTGAACAGGTATGGGACTTTCCATTACAACTCTTSTTGAATGTTGCCCTTTGGTAGTACCACTGCACACAATAAAATTAAGGTAACGAATCCAACTTTTTAAGGATACCCTCTTACTGCAAAACCAGGTCATTAGGTTCTATAGGGAACTAAAACTCAGCAACATTTGTGAAGGAAAACTAAAGTTGCAGCCATTATTTCAGGAGCSGTGATCTGCAGCTGAAAGACTTTGAACCTCTCAAATACTCACAACATTTCAAAGGTTCTGCATAATGCRACCAAACATCAGCAGCTTTGTCACCTTGCTATCACAAAGTAAATATAAACCAAAAATTAAAACTTAAGGTATAAAAAGGGATTTTGTGAACACAGACCACTTAAGATGATAACCCCCACTCACTGTCTGCAAGGACAGCACCTCATGCATAGATCTTGAGGTTTTATTTACAGAAAACAAACTGATTCCCAAAATCACACTTTCATAGCAAGTCTTTACAATGAACACATCCAGAGTACTGAAAAAAGTTTGCATTTCCAAATATAACCGGAATGGTAATTATTAACAAATGGGTAGAAAATACATCACATCCATGACAGACCATGCTGCAGTCTGAATTCAGAGCGTGGCTCCAGTCCTTTCCTGGCAGCATTCCACACTACTGCAATGAGGCTATCCCACCAGGCTGCAGGAGGCACAGGATGGCTGGATTTAAGAGCTCAAAAATGCATATAAACACCACGTTCATGGGCTTCCCCAATACCAAGTCATGTGACAGTGACAGGATAAATACGGAAAACAATCATTTATTCTGAAAATAAGTGCAATCCACCTGTGACCTCCTGCTACGTTATTTACTGTAACAGATGTGTGGGTCAGGCCACTGTTACTTGCTAACCTCCACATAACACTTTATAGTCAAGAGCTGGACATTCATACTTACTAAGTCTGAAACAGTTATAACATCTCCTAATGATTAAATACTGAGTGCTAGTATGCATAAACCAGAAAGGATATAGCATGACATGAGTCACTTAAACTATGCAAAGTTATTTACAACCCCTGTCAACCAAACTTTTTTGGCTCTTGGAACTCTGTTCTTCAGTGGCACAACTTTTAGTCAATTTAATGATGAAAAAGTCTACCGTTTTGATGAGCAACTTGTAAGGAGTGAAAATTTGAGTGTAACTTATCAACCAACAGGCAACCTCTGGAGCAAAAAGCATGACCTCCTCCACAGCATTATAACTGCCTAGAACCTGAAATAACCTTTTTGCTGTTCTTTCAACAAGGCTTCTTCACAAGTCCCTGAAGTCAATCTGCATCCCAAGCAACCAGCATGCTAGTGTCATTTACAGATCCAGAGCTGCTTCCATCAGACACTCCAGCTTGGCGTGCAATGACAGCCCAGTGTTCTCCAGCCTCACGTGGAGCAGCACAGAGCAATCTGCTGCACTTTGCCCAGGTCTGTTATCAGCTGCTTTATACAATGTTTGAGCTGGGGSAGTCGAGCCAGTGGTTCTGGGGGTTCCAACTCTCCTGTGTAATCCAGCCAACTCTCCAGAACTGCAAAGAAAACAAAGACTGTCACTACTGCTGTTCTCAGCAAACAGCTTACCTGAAGTCACAAAACAAGAATTCTTTAAATCTTTYGTGAATCTTGAGAAAGCAGTGGGCAATATTTTCAACTTTATTTAAAAAAACCATAAAACTGAACACCTTACACCAACTTTTGCAAGTAACTTTTGATACGCAACTAAATAATTCACATGGGGATGAGGGGAGAARCTGCAGCTCCTAGTAAAAAGCAGGAAAAAGAAACTCTGGACCAAATATTGTGAAATCTCATGGTAAGCTTCCTCTGATCTGTGTCAATTCCAGGGCAAGGACACTGTGGTACAGGGARTTTATGCCATCAAGGATGGGACTGTGGTAATGAAAGAAACACAGAACACAATTGGCCAAGACAGCCAGAACTGGGTAACACAAAATGGGGACGAAGATCARAAGCAAACCACAGACTGCTGCACAAGGAAAATGAACTCCTGCTCTAAAAAGCTTCTCAGKGGGAAACAAGAAATCCCACTGAGCAGGAGAAAAGTCAAGTGACAATGTAACAGGGCCACAAGGAAGGTGGTCAGGCTGGACTATGATGAGTTCTGGTGATGTTGACAGCACTGCAGATGGACACAGAAACCCTGAGGACAGTCACTGCCACCAGCCAGATCCATGGCTGAGTTTCACCCACGGGCAGCACCTGCTGCAGAACTGGCAGCATCACCTGCTTCTGACACATCCAGCCTTGGAGTGAGAAAGTTCCTGCTCAAAGTAGCAACACACTGCACAGACCCCTGCTCAGCAGCAGGTACAAAAAGTCTAACTTTTGGGAATCAGAGCTACTTACTTTATGTAACAGGCAGTACAGGCCTGACTGACCTTCACTACCTGAAACAGCCAGGCAGCTGTCCAACTTTTCAGTACCTTACTTACAAAGAGACAGCTCTTACTTGGGCAGAATTGGATTCCCCTGCAAGTAAAGCTGCTKTTGTAACCACTACACAACCAATGGCCACACTTAACAGTGTAAAAAAGAACTACCCTGGATCATTCAACGCAACACAAGGGATTTGTAAGTCTTCCACTACTACGAAAATCTAAAGAGACATTTAAGTGAAGAACTTGGAAGAGATGGGAAAGGATAATGGCCTTGTGCACCCAACAATAGGCTAGCACAGCCAGCAAGGCCCTGAGGAACAGAGAAATCGAGATACACAGAAGAGTTTTGGAAAATGATGAAAACCTAAACCCAGAAAGACTCAAAGATGTTCCAATACAACATCTGATGCAACTATTTAGAGATGACTTAATTAGAACTTGTTCTGTGAAATTCTGCTCTTTGTTTTAAAATCCACCCCCACATAAGCAGCATGTCTATTTTCTGTGAGGAAGTGTGCTAAAGAAGCATTCATCGCTTTGTAGGTCTGAAGAAGTAAAATTCTGGTTAACATGTTTAGAATAGGTAGTTCAGTTAAAGTGTTTTTTTTTTAAACTAGAATAATGCTACTTACCATCCAGCTCTTTCTCAATGAAATCCATTCTGTGTATGACTTCATCTTGCAGAGATTCCACGTGAGCTAAAAGATTAAGCTGCCACTGCAGCTGCGAGTTCACAACTCCTTCTTTGTCTTTTTCCAGCAATTTCATTTCAATAGCTTCCTCCGGAGAGACTTTCTTAGAGACAGACTCTCTCACCTAGCAGAAATATTAAGAAATTAGTATTTGATACACTGAAAGAGAACTGGGGAGCTGAACTGTCCTCCCAGTACCCCAAGCTAATTGCTCAACCCATCATAAGCCAGTGAGTGAGAGAGACACAGACACTGAACTGGTTTGGGCAAGAAGATCTAAATATTGACATATTTGTATAGGTATTGTGCTAAAAACTATTTGTACTTCACAGGCATCTGGTTTTCTGAAGGTAACATACACATGTTTAGTTATCACCAGACCATCTTTCATCTGGAAAATCCTGCACTAAAATCTGTGCATCTCAGGGAATGCTGAAGCTGYTTCTCACCCGACAATAGTCAACTAAAGAGCAAACAATTCAGCAGTGAAAAGGGGGTTTTTCTTAATGAATCCAATCTAAATTCTACTGTAACTTGCCCTGAATCATCTCCAAACAAGCATTACCATTCCTTACAAAACCTGACTACAATGGTAAGGACTACAATGTTCATTCTACTCCCCTACTTTCTTCACCCTTCTGAAATATCAGCGTTAGGAAAAGGCTCTTTTAAAACAATCTCAATTGATAGAGAAGTTAAAAGTAGCAAAATTATAACTTACGTATGGATGAAATAAAAGCTAACCTAACCTTTAATCTAAAAAAGGGAGCTCAGTATTTCATAAAATCATAAAATTGTACAATAGTTTGGGTACAAAAAATTGTACAATAGTTTAGAAGAGGCGCTTAGAAGTCATCTAGTTCCAACCCTGCCATGGTCAGCGACACCTTCCACYACCTCAGGTTGCTCCAAGCCTGTCTGRCCTGGCCTTGGACACTTCATGGGATGGGGCAGCCACAGCTTCTCTGAGAAACCTGCAAGGGCCTCACCACCCTTGCAGGAAAGGATTTCTTCTCAATGTCCCATCTAAAATCTAGGCTCCTTCAGCTTAAAGCCATTCCCCCTTGGGACAAGGGATGGARTGCCAGGACAAGTCCCTCTCCAGCTCTCYKGAGCCCCTTTATGCACTGGAAGGGGCTCTGAGATCTCCCTGGAGCCTTCTCCTCTCCAGGCTGAACACCCCCARCTCTCCCAGCTCTAGCAGAGGGGCTCCATTCATTTTCCAGAGGGTTTTAACATTTCTCAGCCCACATTTCATATGAATTGGTATTAAGCAATAGAAGAAACATTTTTGCCCTGGGGTGGAGAAAGAAAGGTCACTGCTAGACCTGACAAAGCTGACAATGAGAGCCAAGCATTGAAAAGCTAAACCTAGAGTGCTCCAGTAGGAAGATATAGGGTTATTCCATGATGATCAGTCTTAAAAAAAAAAGAAAAACCACTTCACACTGATCCTTTTTTTTTTCTCTGTCTGTAGAACCTAAAATTAATTAACTATTAGAAGAAACATGGGAACAAGACATAAATAATTAGAAGGTGGCCTACCAATGCATTTGGTAGTATCATACATGCTTGGCCTGTTCTCTCCTTTTGCTAGTGTGTATTTGTATATTTAAGACACAAAGTAAGCAGAAATGAACTACCAGCGGACCATAATGCATGGTCCACACTTTCCAAATGACTTGAGGTCCAGAAGCCAACCTAGATTTTTTAATTATAATATGAAATGAAGGAGTTGATACAGTTAACATTGTAATTCTAACTGGCAACTTAAATTTAACAGTCTAAGAAAAAAACTAAACACAAACAGACCAAAAAGCATTAAAAAAAGCTGAGGTTTTCATGTTACCAAACATGCAAACAGATGCTATTTGCAGAGAGGGCTATTTTAATAAAAATACCTTAGAGTAATTGTGTTTGGATTCATTTTCCATCTTGCATATTTCTTGGTCCAGACTCCAGCCAAACCTCTCCGACAGGGTATCATCCCCATTTTCCCTTATTCTRTTTACTCCATCATCCATGGCTGAACCTCTTGTTTCCACAACCAGCCTCTGCTCTATGGCAGGGTAGTAGGCCCGAGGCTTCTGGTAACAGTGTTCACTKGTAATGTAAGATTCCTCCACAGGAGGAATTGTTGAGGGTTTCTCAACTGTCCCATTCCAAGTTCTATAACTTGCCGTCTCCTCTTTGCAACAGTTTTCCTCGAAGTGAATGATGTGTTTTGTATGGATTTTTTCATCCACCGTTATATGCTTCCATGGATGACACCAAAGCTTTAAGTCAGGGTGTTCTTTATTTCTGTTCAAACATAAAAAAGTAAACCATGCAATTTAAATGTCAAAGTGACTAAGCAAACTATCCTATTACATAATTAAAGTAAGACTATTTGGAATATTACATACTCAAGACATCGTAATTGCTAAAAAATGCCYAAATACTCTGAAACAACATAGTTTCACTGACCYCAGTTGTACATCCTCCTACAATGCYCTGTTATGCTCACTATTTTTATTTCCATAACATGGTACACATGCCAAGTGTTTGGATTAAGAAAATCTTGAAAAATAAGTTGCCGGTAGATACATATAACTTCTGACCAATACTGTCCTTCACGGAGCATTTTGCTTCAATATTTGCAATTTATTAACAGGTGAAATTAATTTTAACTGTGACATTTTTAGTAAGGTATGGTACACCAGCATTGTAGCAGTGTTCCACGGTGGCCACAGTTCCCTTTGTCTGTTCTTAGAAAAACCTTTATTTTAATTGTCTTCAAATTGACTAATACATTATTTATTCCAGCAGAAGGGACAACTATAGGTATCAGATTATTACAAATATATAACAAACAAAAGATTTACAGTGAGCATTCTAACTCATATTCTTCCTCRTGTGCGTCAGGCATCAAAACAGTATTAAAAGGAGAGCAAAGCAGAATACTCTGCTATTTCAAAGGGCTGGCAGCTCATCTGCCACTGGCTGCAGGAACAGCAGAGTAAAGCCTGACTCTAAAGCACCTGCATTACACACAGAAAGAAGGGGCTGCCCCCAAGCCCCTTTCTCTGCCTCCTTGCAAAGGTGGATGGACTTATTCTATTCAGCTGATCCAGCTTTTCTAGCTGTTCACCAAACCACTCAACAMAACATGACCACTTGACTTTGGCAGTGACTGCTTTGTAACCCATCTTGCAGCTTAGGTTTCTTAAGATCTCTCAGAGGAAACCAGAGTTGCCAAGATCATGCTCAGACTATTTCATTCAAGCACCTTTTGTCTCCAGTGCTGGCCTATCAAGGATGAATGTCCCTGGTAAGCCATCATGAAGGCATGTCTGGAAAAGTGCAAGTCAGGTTTTCRTTTACCAAGGCTTTTTGCTCCAGCTCCACTCATCTGCTATCCTCAAAGACACYATATTTTGCTCAGAACAGAAGAAGGGATAACTTCACAGAAGACAGAAATTTTATCTGAAAAATTATGCATCCTTATCTAAGGATGAAAATTCACATGCTAATACCTGAGTAACTTTTCAACTCCTGCCTACTGAAGGTTCACCCTCCCACGGCACTGCCACAGTCACCTTGGATCTTTTGCCACCTACTTGAAACACTAAGCAATGCTCTCCTAATAATTGTAGGCAGCTGTGAAATTATGCCCTCTCCATCTGTTGATCTGCATCAACAGTATAATAATTCTTCAAATTCMGCAATTTTTCAAATCCCTTCTGATTTACATCATGATAAAGAAAACAGGGGCTGAAGCTTTTAACCAGATGATCCAAACAGGACTGCACCTCAGCTTTAATTAAGCCAGGCTATCACACTGACTTCAGCATGGGAGAGAAAAGGAACAAAACCTGCAGCAACCATCACATATGCACCCAGTGCTCCCTACCTTAATACTATGTAAATCTCAATTCACAATTCTGGAAAGCCAGAAACTGAAGTCTCATTCCTTAACAAAAGGCCGAAAAAGTGRCCTTACAATATTTATATTTCAGTCTCCAGAGAGGAAAGAAATTACTTACAGATCTAACTAAAGGATCCTATAAYGGAAAAGCAAAACCTTATGTCAAAATGGCTACTGTCGTGCTTTAAGCATTACTCTACTGTTGAAGCATCCACTTCTGTCCGTGGACCTCCTGCATCACCACAGATAAGGGGAAAGGGTCTAAAGAATGCCAAAATCACTTTGTTTTCCAAACAGCAGCTGCTGTGCAATTTATCAATTGATAAATTGATCAATTACAATTACGGAATTCAATAAATGTAAAACCGCAGCATTTGAGTTAGAAAAAGGTTTTTTTCAGTCATCAGAACCCAAGGATGATTTTAAATAGGAAAATATGCAGAAAAGTTGATTATATAAAAAAACCTTTTATGCAGTATTTATTTTCTGCATATGTAGCTGAAATGATCTTTGCTCAGAAATGAAGTGCTKCAAATTGCTGAAGGTGCAACCACTCTCCAACTGCAGCACAACAACATACTGTACCAAACAAAAAWATCTGATTCCTCTTGGACAAGCTATGATCAGATATCTTGGAATGAAGAAGGCAAGTGCTGCAAAAGTAGTGCTACAGGTTGTAAGTATATCCCCTTCTTACCTAAAATCTAGTTGGGTGATTCAGGAAAAGCTGTTGTTATTAATTTACTCCTTTCTTCACTTTCCCAACCCTTTCTATACACATTGTCCATTTACACTCAATCCACTTGCCAAGTCYTTTCCCAAGATCACATCAGCAACTCAAACAATGTTATAAATCCATGGAGAAGCACAAATGTAAGTCTGAATTTCTGGCTTTTTTTATACTTGCAGTCCAATTCTTGGGGAGAACATGCCAGCTGGCAGGTAAATAATGCTTACTAGGTAAATAATACTTACTGTAATATGCTCATCTTCAGCTGCAGCCCATGCAGGACTTCGATCACTCGCTGAACATCGCCAAGCAGCTGGTGAGTGGCCACGATCTTCTTGGCATTCTGGTGCGAATAATTTTCTTCCAAAAATGCTAAGCCATGCATGTGACCATTACTTAACCACTCCTTTTCATACCAGTACTTTAAGCTGGACCTCTGACCTAAAGTGACAGTAATGAGTGAGTTAAAATGAAATGCTTACGTCACTGGTAGTAATTCTGATTAWCATCAGGTACTGCAACAGCTTATTTGTTTTTATCAAGAGAACCAATGAAGATCTTGTAACCACAGACAAAACCTCGAAGAGATGAAGAACTTGCAMAGCAGGAAGCCAAAAACCTCTGCTCAACTGCAAAAACATTCATACCCCAAACTCCACCAAAGGACATCCACAACTGGCAGTTGAAGCTGAGGCTGAGAAAGGTGTATTTTTAGCAGGATATCACACTGTCTAGTCTAACCATGGTTATGGCAGAAGCTACCATCTGAATGCAGCTCTCTGCAGACAGAAAAATGCAGAAAAAGGCAATCAACTTCCCAGTGGTCTTGTTTTTAAGCATTAATATTGACTGGAGTTGTGCAAAAGTACATTTTGAAACAAACTTTTGWTAGAAAACATCAGGCTACTAATAATGATTATTCTAGTTTAAACGGTTGGAATATCAACAACAGCAGAAATGGAATGGAGCTGAATGTGATAAATGCATCAGTAAAAGTAACTTAAACTGCTAAACAAATGGTATTACAAGGAAAGAGTTTGCTAAATTGCAAACACACTCAAAAAAATCCCATACCAAATACTTAACAAAAGGTCCCCCCCACACACTCTGTAAAATGTAGTTACACCAGATATTCTCAGCAGAGAGCTCAGCACCCAGAGAACCATCTCATCAGCACTGCCTATGTACAGGCCAGGCAGCAAGCCCATAAAACCAGAGATAAAATTGTACCACAGATTGAGAACCATAGTCACAAAAATATAAGCAGATGAATATTAACTTGAGGAGAAGCTAAAAACAAAAAAAAGAAAATAAAAAAAGGAAGTTACTAGGAAGAGGAGTAAGGCTGAGGTTGGCACTACAAGGCAATCCATGGGTATTACACAGCATCAGAAATCATCATATGGAAAGAAGGAATTTTGAAAGCTGCATCAGTTTAACCTTTCAGGCACATACACTGTGTCAAGCAGGAAGGCGAGCAGAATTCTAGGTATGGTCAGAACCACACTGGAGACACTCCTGGCACCTGCATTAGCCCTCCCTCATTTATTTCTSCATTAGAGAAGCTGACATCGGTGAYAGAAAGTAGAATTCAGTCCACAAGAATAAAACAGTGACTTCAAGAACTTTAAGGTCACTGAAACAACTGAGCTGATGTGTACCCCGAGGTAAAATATGCTCCCTTTTGAGGTATATAACCTTAAGGGGAGACACCAGATTATATCCACGAGCAATTGTGCCAAGTAATCATCTTGATCACGTTTAAGCAAGAGTAAATGTTAACAAATCTGTTAAAATTCCCATCTGACTCAAACAGACGTGAGTAAAATAGCACCACAGTTTTTAGACAAAATTACAGTGCATTTGCTTCTATTTCTAATAGAATGAGTAGCCCTGTTAGAAGTTCCAGCAGTTTGGACTGGGGAAAGCTCCTACATAGGAATTTGCTGAACAGCCACACCCAGTTTTAAAATTTTGCAGATTCATAGAGCGTATTAGCCCACTTCAAGACAAAAGCAGAGTCACTGAAAAACCATCTTTGCAGTCAAAAGGTTGGACATATTCTCCGTTTTCAAGAGAGGTAAAAATTAATGTGAATGTGAATTTCAGAATCTTCAAATGAATAGTTAATGATTAATTAGGCAAATGAAGCTGTAATCAGTTTCTGCACAAAAGCACTCATATTGAAGTGTGACAACTTCAGTTTGCTTGTGCATTTTAGTTCAATTTAAAACTACCTTCAACTGACAYAAAGCAAAATGTCTTTAATAGAATCCTAGAAGCAAGATACTCTAAAAAAAAACTTAAATATATTGCTAACTGTGTAGTAAAAGTTTAAAATTTAAGTGTACCATGCCTTCACTGCTGAGAATACAAAAAACAGCAATAAACCAACTACACAAAGACATGAATTAAAAGGACAAAAGAGCTGGTAGCTTTCAATAGCCAAAAAAAACTGGAGATCACAATCCAAATATCTATATAAACCAAAAAGGTCTTTTCATCAGGAGAACAGATACCCATTTTCCTGCCATTGATACCTATGGACTCAAGCTCAAACCTTGCCCACTTTCACTTTCAGCAAGGCTTTATAATCCACGGAGTAGAAAGTAAAAACATATTCACCTAAGTGTAATTTTACTTGTTGTGTAAGATAGACTACAGCATTTAAAAGTAGGAGAGAGAGAAAAGATATTAGTTAGGAGAAAAGATATTACTTAACCAACTCTGTGTCACCCTAGGGTAATACCAACATACAGGTTATCACAGATGTGTTGATTTTGCATGGCCTGGTTCTTAGCAGTGGGGGGGGGCAGAGATGACTTCTGTGAGAAGCTGTTGGAAGTTTCCACCATGTCCAGCAGAGCCAATCCCTAATGGATCTAAACATGGATAGCCACTGGCCAAGACTGGGCCAATTAGAGATGATGGGAAGGCCTCTGTGATAACATATTTAAGAAGAAAATCAAAACAAAGGTGGGGGGCAGTTTCAATTCTAGCTAGAGAAGAGGAGAAGGTAAGAACATATGAGGGAAACAACCTGGAGACACCCAGGTCAATAAAGAAAGGGGCAGCAGGTTCTCCAGGTGCTGGGGATGGGATTCCTCTGCAGGCCATGGTGAGGAGCATGGTGGAGCAGGCTGTCTCCTGTAGCCCATGGGATCCACAGGGGATGCAGAGATCCACCCACAGCCCATTGGGGAGGTGCCCACACTGGAGCAGGGGGATGGATGCCTGCAGGAGGCTGTGATCCAGTGGGAGACCTGGTGGAGAGAGGGGGCCCTGCTTCCAGGCTGAAGCAGCCATGCCACAGCAGTTTTGGGAGGACTGMTGCTCTTGAGATTGGAACCACACYRGAGAAGTTCATGGAGAACAGATTCCTATGGGAGGGACCCCATGATCTCACAGAAGAAAAGCTTGGGTGACMAACTGACCAAAACCCCCACCCAGTCTCCCTGYGCTATCAGTGGGAAGGAGGGAGGGGCTGGGGGAAGMAAAGGTTTTTTAACAGCTCATTTTACTTCTCATTATCCTCCTCTGATTTTGKTGGCAATAAACTMACTTTGTGTCTCTAAGYTGAGCCTCTTTTGCCCTTGGAGTGTTTTCTCCCAATCCTTATCTCAACTCATGAAACCTTCATTTTATTTTTCTCTCCTCTGTGCCGCTGTGGCAGGGGAGAGTGACTGAGCAGCTTTCATGGGTGCCTGGGATTTGACCAGCATCAAACCATGACAGCAGGTAAGGAAGTCAACAAGAGCCACAGCTGAGGAGCACCAGGAGCCTTGTGCTGATTGATTTTAAAGAATAAGCCTGATCGTGTTGGGGAGAGCTGCAGGCACAGCCCCCAAGATGTGCCCATGAGGAGTTTTTGCTTGAGCTTCCTGAATGCTTTCTACATTCATTTGCCACAGTCAAGATACTATAATCCTTATTACAGCAAATATGTGACAGATGGTCATCACAAAGAAAACATTCATTTCCATTCCTGTCCTGTTGTAATTCCACAATACTGACTCATGGGCATTCACATACGTTAAACTTTCTGTATCTGTAACTGAAAATAACCTACAGTGACAGATACAGGCAGGGGAAAAAGTAGTATAACTTTTGAGAGAGAGATAGTAGATAGGCAGATACAGATAAACTAGAAGATTACATACATAACAAAGGTCTGTAACCTTAAATTTCTGTACCTGGAGGATCTTGGCAAATATAGCAGGTATATTTATCAGGTATATTATCTTCCAGTAAACCCATACAGACTCCATGCTGCCAGCACAGACACTCTTCACACTGTTCAAAGTCAAGAAGTGCATATTAACAAAAATGAAGGCTGAAGGAGCTCTGTACTATTATTCAATTAAGAAACACAGGATCTACATATTTTAAGACAAAAAGATCCATTAATATCCACACCCCACCYTCCAGTTACAAGCAAATACATTACAGAATCAGACTATAAAACAATGTGAGCCCTTCCCACACRTTTCTCACTTCTGTTTCTGGAGAATGACAACTAAAAAGTGGAAGYAGAGATCCTGAAAGATATAAAAATATTCCCTTTGGAGATTAAATTCTTTCGTAAGACAYGTGTGCATGCAACCAGGATAGCAAACAGTGAAATCAAACTTTTTTTAGAAAACAGATCCGTTTTTCCAAATTCAAAAGCTTCCTCCTTGAACAGTAAACCATATTCAATTACAAAATTCCAGAGATATTTATGTCACAGAGGAGTAGCCAGTATTATGCTTTACTGATTCTTGTACCTCCAACATTTTGTCCACTTCAAAAGTAGCTCTACTAACATAAATCTGCAGTGCAGATGCAGTTGCATCAGCTTTAAGAGCTTCCAACATCTTTCCAAGGCAGGGCAATCAYAGTGGCAAAGACTGAAAGTAGTTTGGATTTATTTAGCACAGTTACACTATTTAAAATGCAGTCACTTCTTAAAGCCAATGCAGTTCTAGAACATGAAAATACTATATTCACGTCTTGTTTCTGTCATTTTCTCCCCCCATCAGTATTTTAATGAAACAAAATTTTGATTGTAGACTACAGACCACTGAAACATGGAACAAAACCCCACGTAATATTAAGTCAATTTTGACTGGAAACTTAATGTCAGTTAAAAATTACTATTTTACCAAGCAGTGAGACCAGAGATCATATACCCTTCACTTCTTAGAGCAAAARCCAAAAGCAGAGATGTTGTCAATGCTGGTACAGGTCTGCAATATGAGCTAAACCAAACCTTAACAGCACCTGCAAAGCTCTTCAYTGACCTACAAAGATGCCACCTTGCTAAACATTTCACCTGTGTTCAATACCACTTCTATTATTGCTCTGATCTGCTTCCCTTCCTCAAGCTAAGAGGGACAGAAAAGGAAAACCAAATTCTGAATATTTCACTGCATTAAATGAGTGGTCTAGACATGGAAGAAACATGGAAGAAACAGAAGCTCTGGGAATGGAAAATGTAAAAGGTTAGAGAGAAACAGGTTTCTGAAGGATGGGACCAACAATGTTTTGCCTTACAAAATGGATAAATAGTCCTAAAGCAGTTAGATATATTCAAAAAAAGGCAGAGACCATCTTCCTTTCACAGATTAGAGCCATAAAAAGGTGTTCTAAAACAAAGAAAAGAAATTTAGGAAAACCAGACTGTGCTAAAAATAGGAAAGGAGCTCCTCGATCTAGTTACACCTGCATCCTATATATCATGCCATATTGCACAGGGCTGCACCCAGTGATTTTCCAGAATTCTAGTGAAGCCTTCTGTCCTGGGTTACAATATGGGGTTATAACCAAACTATGTATTCCACTCTCATCTACATGATTGCTGACATTGGGTATTGCTGAATATTGCTGAATATTAATAGTGGGTCATTTGCAACAGCTGTACAGTGCACACCCAACCCCCCAGGCTGCAGTGTCAGATGAGGGAAAGAGTCAAAACCCCCACATCAGGGCAGTGTTTGTCTTCACAAATTGACTCGGCTGATAACCACACCCAGCCTAAAGGGAGTCATCTGCCAGAGGCCAGAAAGACTCAATGGCACCAAGGGGCAGCTGTAATGGCCKAGGTATCAAGGACTGCCCAAAATATCCTGTGACTCACAGCATTACATCAYTCCATTCTGAAATTTCCTGCCCAGGGGGAGGCACTGAGCATTCCTGCTGTATCTGACCATAACTAACCTTGGCACTTTGGGGACTTAGGATACCACCACCACTGGACAAATCCAGAGGAGGACCAGACCTCCCACAGGACCACTGCTCCCAACTGTCACCATCATTGCAATAGGACWGCAATCACTATTTGACAGGACTGTGACCCACACCCTGACCAGCAGGGTACCAGATGTAGTCTGACTTTGCAGGTTTATGCCAGTTTTTGTGTATCATTGCCTTTAYTSTAATCTTTATATTAAATTGTATTTGTGTGGGGTTCTTTTCCRGCTGGTTTACTTTCAAACCAGCACAMGCATCCCAACCWTTTTTATTTTACTCAACTGATACTTAAATATCCACCTGTCAGGGCACAGGTCCATCCTTCAGCCCACAGGTTCTCCAACACACCGTGGCTGCCAGGCTACAGGATACTGCTCTGCACTCATGCAACAGGGAAGCTACTCCCTGCCCAGGTAGTAGTAGGGAGGTCCAGAGCATGCCAAGTAGGAGATTTTGAACAGAAAGAACATGCAGCATTGTGCAAAAAATATTTAAATTGAAATTCAAGTCACAAAAGAAATAACCAAACACAAAAGACATGCATTTAAAGCAGCGCTTCACCTTCCAGCACAAAAATATCTCAAGACCATTTACACCAATSACCTCTGAGGCCACCAAATCCAGCCACAGAACTCTGCATATACACAAATTCACCAATGTTTAGGTATAAAAGCCAAAAAGAAGGGACAAYGACAGTCTGCCWGGACTTTCTTGGGCSTCACCATAAAAAYTAAGTGCTGTGCCTCCAGAAGGAACACAGGGCAATGCTACACTGCTGCTTTACACAGACTCCATAAATGAAGCCTAGTAATCTCCTTGCAGAGTTATAGAGACTGGAACAAAACAGCACTGACCAACAATACATYATTTTTCTGTACTTCTTTTTCCAGATTTAGTTTCTACTGACTGAAGCAGTACACTATTGTATTCTAYGAATGCAAACCCAGATTTCTGCATCCTGGTGTAATGAACGACATTCATAATGTACAAATTGCTCAAGACAATTAATTTAAGGCAAGTACAGGTCAAAGATWATTTTTTATAAAATTTTACAAATGTAGGGGCAAGTTATTAGTTTAAATACTCAATGGAACAAACTCATTTTAACTGCATAGGAGTTTCATTAAACCTCAATGGTCCCTAATCTTTCATGTACAAGAAGACSCTGATGTGTTTAAAATTAATATTTTCCCACATTATTTCTAAATTTGGCACATTCATGGAAACGAGCACAGCTCCATGAGAATGTTTAGCATTCTCTCTCTTGTAAGCAATGAGGGAATACAGGTATCCTGGGAAGAATGAACCTCCAGGCAGATCCACGAAGAAACTGCCCTCATTCCTGACAGCAAACTCCAGCAGGAGCCAACAMATTTCCATCAGAATAATAAATTAAAAAGTAAAATAAACATCCCAATGGAGACAAGTACTAAGAATGACAAAATTATTTAAAAAACCCACACCTTGAGCAAAATGACCTAASTTAATATAAAAAGGACCAATCTAAATCCAAGTACTTTAGAGCAGACAGCTCTGAATTAATTTCTCAGTGTCAGACTGAAGTGTGAATAGGAAACACAGATTCCTAGTCACACTTTTTTTAGGAAAAAATCTTTCCTAATTACAAAGTTACACCTGWGTCTTGCTCTATAAAGCCAAAAGGAAATGTCAATCTTGGCACTCCACCTCTAAAAAGCTGAAAATAGGTTCCCCTTATGATAATTCCACAGTTGGGGCATTTCTATATCAATAAAAGACAACCAGACTGTTCAAAACATTTTCAAAAAAAAAAGACAGGATGACAGAAAGCTGTGAGAGCACAGCATTTGGTACCTTAAGCACACCACCTGTCTAATCTCCACCCTCATCTCACCCACACTTAATCTTGTTACCAGCTCCTTGCTTCCCAATTCCTATTACCTCAATCCCCCTAACAAATGCAGGTAATCACAATGCTGTCGTTCTGCATCTCTTTTCCAGAGAGAATAACCTACTCACTCAGCCAATTCTTTCATAAAACAGCTCAAGCACTTAAAACTTTGCAATATGCTAAACAAAAACCCCAAACTACTTCAACCTAGCAAGTCAATCTTAGAAGCAGCCCACGAAACATTAAAGGAAAGGTATCCATAGGCTCTGTCCTCAGCCAGCTGACAGTTCCCTAGATTCTGCAATCCCTACCTAGAGCTGAACTTACTTTTTCCAGAAAATYACACTCCAGGTTATCTCTTTTTGCTTTTCTATAAGCCAACTGCTTAGAGGACATCCACCCCCTTTTAGTCACTACTGTCAGACTCCTTTTTTCTCCTGTACACTCTGGTGCTATTTACTTAAATTTGACCACTGCCCATTATTCCACACTCCACTACCAATTCATAAAGGTACCCTTCACCCTGCACTGTCAGGATCCAAAACTAAAACAAAGGTGGCATCCCAATGAACTTGCCACTAATAAAGAAAGAATCATACCTTCCACTGCAAAGCTCCATGAAATAGCATGTAAACCCAAAGCAAATTAATTAGAGAAAAAAAAAAAGAAGGAGGAAATTGATCTTTTTGACTTCAGCTCTTGAAATTAATAGCAATTGGGTGGGATGGTTCAGAGCAGCTATGTAGGGAATGATTTCATGGTAATTTACAAACATGTCAAAAAGTAAAAGTAAGTAAGCAGAGAACTTCCAAGGAGGTTTTTATCAACGATTTTAAGCAGAAGAGATAAGCAAAGTCTCTCAAGAGTTTTCTCAGAAGCTGGTTTRAAAAGAGCACATACATGTGGAATGGACAGATGGCCTTATGCAGATTAGGAACTCTGAATTTGCAGACTACTGCASAAGGGATGAACGCAGCTCTGCTTTAAAGCAAAACACTCAACTAATGATTCTGCTTTTATGTTCAGCCTGTCTGGAGAATTGTATGTATAAGTCAAGCTTCTTGCCAGTCAGAGGAAYGGGAGGTACACTACTATCTCATGGCAATGTTCTCAACAGGCTCTAAATTACACAGAGATTAAAAAGCCACCGATTTGCATTCTCAAAATCTAGGAAGTCTTTTATTTTTAGAAAAATTCACAAATGACTTAAGAGTCATTTATGACTTGAAGTGAATTCTCCTTTCTCCCTTCAATTAAAAATACCAAAATATACTATAAAGCAAAAGTTGTTTTAACTACAGCAGCAGTTACCTTGACAGATTACCTTAAAAATGTTATGACTRTGGAAGACAATAATAGTTTATTTCACATACAAAACAAAAGCTTTTCCATTGACACCTTCCACTACATTCACTGAAATGTGCAKTTAACCTCCACTTCATACCTGAATCATGAAGTCACTTTCTTCTTTTACTTCACAAACACACCGAACAATCTCAAAATCACTTTCTTCAACTTCTTCATCAGGGTTGGTGGTTACATCAACATCCTGACTGCAGTCATCATCACTCCAAAGCAAGCTATCCATAGATGACTCACTCAGGGTGTCATCATCTGYACAAGAAGCATTTATATAAAATCCTGAGTAATTGCAAAAAAGGTCCCTCAAGATCTCATCCCAAGTATGCAGATATACACTCCTAAAAGCATGAGTTCACAGTGTAATTTAAGGAATATTACAATTTTAATAGTTTATTGAAGGTTACTACATAATGAAGTTTTATATTCTCACTAATGGCTCCTTCAAACTATTCYAATTTAACAGTCATTAAAACTGTGCTGTCAACATAAGGGTCTCAAACCAAAAGCACAAAGTCTCTTCAGACAGATAACTATAAACAACAAAACCAGGCTTGTATGTTCAAATAGGATTCACACTAGTTGCTGCAATTTGCACAGTATTTGACTTGGCACTTCTAGTGCAGAGCTCTCAAAAAGAGGCAAGAGGGTTCTGTTGTATGAAACGTTCAATCTCACAAAGGGATGTTTCCATGACAGAAATACTGAGTCCAACACAGAATTTAATCCTGCTTCAGAAATTATTATTTTCAATTAGTYTTCTGCTTAGGATACAATTATAAACTCACAGGAAGTGCACTGCACAAGGTTTTCTTCCAGAGCGCACCCACAGTAAACTAAAAGTATTAGTGCATCCCTAGATTGAATAAAACTGCCAAGAAAATCTTTACTGAACAGCCTGCTAAACTGAGATTCTTCCCTCAATAATATTAAAGCAATGTCTGCATCTTCCTTGGAGACACAATGGGAGGGTCAGAGGCAGATGACRAAGTATTTTAATTATTTGAAAATAATTTAATGAGTTGGAGGGGAACAGAAGGCAAAAATTTTAGTCTTAAGTAGGACTGTGGGGTTTCACCTACAGTGGATATAATTATTTTTATAATTTAGCTCACAGAATCACAGAATGAACACCAGTCTGTGGCATAGACTACATCTTTTGGAGAAACATCTGTTCTCAAAGGGGTTGAGAACGCAATGCAATRGTTTATTTTCATGTTTAAAAGTTCTATTTCACCTCTGAACTGGGATACTCTTTCCTAAAGTACTCTGGAAATGACAAGTTAGGCACACTGCCCTTCCATATTACAYAGTTTTATTTACACCAGATMTTGTTTATCTRGGCCCAAGTTCTGTAGATGCAAAAWGCAATAAAACAATTGTAAAAAGGATGAAATAAATTAATTTCTGATATTTTTCACCACTTTCAATATCTAAGAACTGATCAAAAGAAGTCTGAGCAACTGATGGCCAAGTTACTAAAGCCTATGTTCTATGGTTGATATACTYCAGAAATACAACTGCTCAGACTTGCAAAACATGTTTCAAGACATTACCACCATCTCCACTTCAGTAGTTTTCAATGCTTCCTGTTTTGCCTGTTACAGGGAATTAACTGAAGTTAAATTTTACTTTTTTCTAATAACAAACAATGAAAGTTGTATTTAAAAAAATAGTTCTCAACARTGTATCTGTACAGTAACAAATTTAAAGTTCTTATTTATAATCAATCTGTCATACATTTATTATTTCCTTCAAAGCTGTGAGTTTTAAGGAGAAAAAACAAATACCTGTCTTTTTTCTTGTACTAGCTTGTGACAGTAAATAGTACTATGGACTGGGATATTAAGAATTATGAAAGCTGGTACACAGCAGCCAGATTTTCATGAGTTCTGTGTGTGAACTGTGAAGACACCAATTAACAGCTACTCAAGAGCTTCTCATTAGGAAGCTCAGAACGTCATTACAACAATATATCCTTCTGTATTCAAACAACTACACATCACCACACCCAGTGGGTCTCTCCAACACAGCAAGCTTGCAAAGCACCCATTTTTAACTCTGAACGAGTTCTTTGTAGAAACCTTTGGAAATACAAGAAATTTAATTATTAAGTCAGAACATGGTTATTTTAGGAGTTAAGAAGGTGCTGCAAAAAATGCAAAATGAGCTTGATTTCTGAAATAAGGGCAACAGTCTTAAAGTGTGGATGAAGGTAAAGTCATAGCAAAACAAAGCAACATCAAGCTCTGGCAAATGAACTGGGTCCAGCCTTGTCAGGTGGGGGAAGCAAACACAGACAGTCCTAAGTAAGAACAGCCAAATTTACACAATGGAAGCCAGTTTCCAAGTATATTAGTGCCACTCACATATTTACTGGTAATGAAAGACAAAGCCAGCAAGCCACAGAGGAGAGTCATCTCACCATTTGCTTTTGMTTTTCCCTTGTGCTGTCCAGAATCAGCGCAGTGCAGCAATGTACTTGGGTGSGCAGACGATTTACTTGAAGAAACAGATTTTGGGACAACTGATTTTTCAGGTGAAAGTTCTTGTGAGATATCYGTGCTCTCCCCCATGCCAGAATACCCTGTAAAAGTATAATAATTAAAAATCTATGGTCAAAAGAAAGTTGACAGAAGAAACAGCCCCATGCATGCCCATAGCAGCCAGTTCCCAGAGCTCCAGGACTGCATGCTGCTGCTGCAAGATGTGCAAGCTTTCCACAGGCAAGGAAGATGTTGTCTGAATGATAATTTTATGCCACTCAGTCACTGYTTACTGCTGACAGAAGTGAGAAAGGTTTAAGTGACCAGCCTTTCCAGGCCAACTGCTCTTCAGGCTGAGTAAATGTACAAATGCTTTTGCTTTACGGACACTTCTACACAAGCACTACTGATTGGAGACCTCCCCCTCACATCCCACTGATACTCACACAGGCTACACACATTCCCTATCGCACAGACTTTAAAGTGGACAGAAAGCACTCGTTTTTCTTGTCTATGTATGGAGCACAGATGGACAAACCCAGATAAGGAGTTTGTGTATGTGAAGACAACACCTTGAACAGTTCCTCTGTGAGGTCCCCACCTGCCATGGCCTACACTGGATTTAAATCAAGGCTGGCTGCATCTACAAGCAGCACCCTCCAGTTATCTGGAAAAAACTCTTCACAGTTCCTGGACTGAATTATTGAATGGTTAACAAAAAAAAAAAAAAAGACATGCAACATCTTAAAACCCAAGGACAGACTGACAAGCAGCTCATGGGGACTATTTGTGCATAAATCTACAAACTRTATTTTGTATTATCACTATACTTGCGAGCACCACACAATCAGAAACTCATTAAAATTATTTGCTTCAGTACAGTTTTAAGCCACTYGGCCTATGGTTCTTCCCATCCACTCTCTCAATAGCTTGCCCTATTTCTTCATGGCAGAAAACAGAAAAATAAGGTATTTTCTTTCTGTCTCAGAAACTCCACCTTAAGGAGATCTAGCTTCACAAATAATGCATGGCAGATTGAAGTGCACTGTATCAGTGACCACAGACATCCATCCAAGGCAGAGAAAGTTGTCACACTTGCTCCTTAGATGTTTCACTGAARAAATCTTCCACAATCAGCTGTATTTTCAGCACTGAAAAATTCATTACCATTAACACCTGGGCCTATACTTCAAGTTCAAAGCTTGAAGTGGTCTAAGGAAAGCATTCCCAGGCCTCCTTAGATGAAACCAACAGAGAAGACACACTGCTACTACAGCCACTTTAATGTGGTGCAACAGCATGTCATGAGACATGGAAGGGGGACACAGCTTGAGTATAGACTTTCAATCAGGCTTTTACTAAATCTCTCCACAAAAAGATTAATTTCTTTAAGAAAGGAATTAAGGCTTTGAACAGGTTTAATTTGGCTCATTGTCATAGCCCCCCCCCCCCAAGTGAAGGTGTAAGAAATAACAAGGTTAACAGCAGAAAAAGAGGACTCAGCAGTGTTTCCAAATTCCACCATTCATAAAAGCAGCCCCAGAATTAGCATAACTGAGAACAGCCAGTACACAGGGTACCTGGTAAAAAATCAAGGGGATCTGCACCCACTTAATTGGGAAAAGTTTGCATAGAAGAACACTGAGGAAGGAAAAGCCCCATTTAAAGACTTACATATTCATTAAAGGGTGACTTTTATTCTGTGCCATTACAAGCACTACTACAAGCCACCATCCAGAATTAAAGATGAGGCTTAACCAGTAAACAAATTATCTTGCCAATCACAATTTAAAATCAACTACTTAATAAAATAAAAGCTAAKTGAGGAAAGCAGTCTGAACTGCAATGCCTGCTCTTAAGTGATTTAAAGTAAGTTTTTTGAGGTAACAAAACAAAACAATGAAGACAGTTTCATCTACAGAAGAAAAATGAGCTTTACCAGGCTTAGACCTCTTTTTCTTTTTTTTCTTTTTCTTTGACTTGGATCTTCCATAGTCTTTGGATTTTCTTTCTTTGTTTTTCTCATTTTCTCTAACAGCTGAAATTAGACAATATTGCAAATTAGTTTAAAATATATATACATTTATTCTACTTATTAATTTTCTTAAGG